GCGTTTCAAATTTTGAGTTCCAGAAAATAGTGTGGTCAGCAAATCAAAAGCTCAGCAAAAATCTATACATGTGCACTTAATTATGGACACAGGCAAAATGAACGACTACCTGACTGGTCCCGTGAAAAATGTCGATTATTCCTCTCCCGATCGCTAAGAAAAATATTCATACATAAGAATGAATAATTCGGATGTCTGATGTGCTTTCTAAATCTCCCCTCCGCCGCGATTTAACGGTATTTCATTTCTTTTTATCTACCACGCGGTCTGCTAATCTATTTCAAGGTCTGTTAATATATGTTTATAATCAGTTACTACTATCTCAGTGCGCATTGGTCATGAGGGTTTTTCAAACTCGCTCTCATATCGGTATATCAGGTGACATTAGCGGTGCATTTTCTTATTTTTATTCGAATTCGCCGAATTGATGTATAACCCATTAACATTCAGCTGGACAGGTTTAGTATAATTCTTTTCCTCCGCTCATAGTTATTGCAATTCGTAACACGAAAAGTCAAAATAAATACATTTTTATAGCTTAAAGTGTACTTTTTCTGATGGTATCATTCAAATCATTAAAGGATTTCATTTTCTATCGATGTTTAAATCTCTCTATATATATTTGAATTTAACTTAGAGGGAATAGGGAAAGAGTGTGTACGACTCAAATGATAACTCGCGTGTAAAAATAATTGTGGCTTTAATGAAAAGAGATAATTTAAGTACAAATAAGTAGTACTTAGCCGGCATAAAAACCCCAAGTTAAAAGTTAATAAAAATCACAAGTAGGGAAAAGCCTTTGAAGTACTACTTTAACAAAGGATACAAACGGAAAGTAACAAAACAAGGCAGTTAAGTGACTAAATTCAATACAAGGCTTACGAATGACTAATTTTAAGAGAGCTGCTAAACGAAATCAAGCACACGAGAGCTTATTGAAGACTCGCTGAACCTGTAAAATATTTGTACGCGTTGAATGGCCACTCAAATGATGCTCGCTTACCCGTTGGCTTCATTAATTGGATGATGAGGTAGAAGATGCTGTCCACACACACACACACACGGACGCACCGCAGCCCCGATTCACGCATTCACGCGACGTAGGCGATGAGCGAGCGCTTCATAAGTCGGAAAGAGAGTGGCTCCAACAAATGTGGTGAATAGTTTGAAGTAGCAGGAGAGCCATATGAAATAGCCAAAAGCAACTTAATATGCCTTCGCCGTTAAGATTCTGTTAGGTAACGGAATCATGTGCAATTTAGATTATGAAAGATGAATAGAGGAGACACGAAATACGCGTACTTTATGGCAAAATAAACAAAGGATGAAATTCGAAATACAACATTCCGTACGCATATAATATGACTGCGTATTGGTATCGTAACTACTTCGTGAAATGGACAATGTACGAACCTTCGCGGTTTCAATGGCCCATTCACTCTAAGGTAACCTAAATGCTCAGCTCGCGCATTTGCCGGTAAGTTGCAATGCTAGTTAACTTGTACACATGCGACAACAGCGTAAACATACACACGACAGAGAGAGAGAGAGAGAGAGAGAGAGAACGAGAGAGAAAGAGAGAGAGAACAAAGGACTCTTTTGCTGGTATTGAAGCTTCATACGATTGATGTTGCTGTCCGCAGCAGTGAATGGCTGCTCTCGGTAGTTAAAGTCAACTACTATGCCGGATGACTGGTGGTCGACGTGCTGCTGTTGATGTCGCGTTGCGCTGTGGTTATATCGGTTTTCCAGGTCGCTGTTACTTGCTATAGTGTAGCTTTAGTTGCGGGAAATCTTGACAGTCGGAAATTGAATCACGGCTCATGTGCCATTGTGCTGCTCACAGTCTGCTCTTAGGCGCAAACTACAGCAGCCGGATTATGACTGTAGTTGCTCAGGCTGTTACGGCGAGAATGGGTGTTATGTTCTCAGGCTGCAACTATTGGGCGAACTCTCTCTTTCTCTTGCCGCTCTCTTGCTCAGATCAAAGCCTAATCGTTACTGCTTTTCCTTCCTGCTAGAAATCTTCCCGCGTCCCTTACGCACCCTTTCCTTTCTTTTTGTCTCTGTCATGTGTTTGCAGAACGCGCTCTCTCTCTCTCTGTCACTCTTTCCTTTTTTCAGCTAGACACCCAAGATATCCAACGCATCTCAACAGAATAAAATCAACCGAAGATGCGTGCGTACGTATACATCCACGACTCGGTAGCAACATAACAGGACAGAAACTGAGTCGGGTAAATAGTGGGATCGACTCATAGAGTCAATGTACCATCACACTATGCTTTATGAAAGTAGACAATCAGCTAGTTGTACTCTGTTAGTATTAAATTTTTTGGATGAAAGGATTGTTCGTGAATGTATGTGTAGTTTATGAAGGAATATGAAATAATAAATGCGTAGTTAGGCCAATATGATCGATATATTATAGGCCTAAAAAATTGGGAAAAAAGCTCCACAAGGTTCGGTTAGGTTTGATCTTGCGTGCAAACTATGTTTGCATGTAAGCGCAAACGGAAACCGCCTAAGTGGAGAAAAACCCTTGGTTGATTTACATTGATAAATACAAACTGAAATTGTGATTACATGCGATCATGCGTTCAATCGTTGTGTAAAGAATAAAACGTGTTATGATTAATTTATTACAATTGATACTTAAAGATATGCATATACTCGTATGTGTCGGATGTAAAAAATTGAAATTGGTTAATTTGTGGCTAACCGACCAAATGATATGTGAAATGAAAGGATGTTGATTGATTACTTTGTGGCTAGTCGACCAATATAATGTAGGTAATGAATTGATAGTTTTTTTAGACACTGTGGACTTGATTAACTATTTTGTGGCTAGTCAACCAATGATACGTATAAGTGTTTGTGTAAATTGTGTTTGTGTTACCTGAGTTCGATGAGGATTTGTCTCGCGGTGATTGTTAAATTAATACAACTCAAACAAAGAGAACTTATTGGAAAGGTTCTTTAGAAACTGAAATAAATACGTATCTATAAAAAAAACTATTTTAATTGAAATTAATTAAGCTCAACTACACTATATTGACAATTTAAATGAGTTAAGGAAATTCTGTTTAAACGAAGGTAGAGTTCAAAACGTGCGATTAGTTCGGACGAATGATTTATACTAACTTGACCTCCCCAACTAACCGATAATGCGCCGCCACACGAAACGCATACTCTCCCCTACTCTCCTTAAGTAAGAAAGAAAGAAAAGTCATATAGTTAGATCATAGTTAGGCATGCTGAGTAAGTATATCGAAAAAAGGAGAAGAGAAAAGAGAGAGAAAGAAATAGTACGTGGCCACTAGGAGAGAGGAGAAAGCGCGACTATATTACAACCTTATACTTCCCCTTTACTATATCTGAAATACGTTCGTCTTTCGACGAAACATACTCTGAGCTTAAAAATTGTGTCTTTTTTGTTAATCGTATGTTTGTTGATTTTTATATGAAACTATTATTATTTCTTGATGAATTTATAGGCATTTATACATACTCCATATTTTTGTCGGAACGATTACTGTATGTTGGAACCTCAGCAAAATATTTTTTGAAAACAATTTATAATTATAATTAGGAAATTATGATTGTAATAGAGTTTTTATTCAAAGAAATTTTGAATAAAATCCAGAATATAAAGATAGAATTTAATTTAATTTTTTCGCAGATAAAATCAACGATAAAAAATAATATCGGACGATGACGCTTTTCAGTGCAATTCTGCGCTCCAACGCAGACACGGTCTAGGTCAAGCTGCCGCAGATTGCCTTCTTGGTACGAGAAATCGGTCCACAGAGTGTCGTGAATTACGCAATATTTTGGTGAAAGAGAGATTGAGGTACGAACAACAATGCGATAAAATACTAAAGCAAAAGCAAAAGCGGTAACGTAAATAATAATCCCTGACCTTCGGAACAACTAATAGTGTATCAATAGAAAAGCAAGAGAAATTGCACAAAAAAAGGTGTACAAACTCGGCGCAGAAAAAGAGCGACGCGCTCGCATCGTACAGATCGGTGCAACACGAGCACTCGAGTAAACGTGCACCTAAAAAAAGTGGGCGCTGTACTCGCGCCATGTGATTAGCTGGCGAAAAGAGGGATCTTGAGAAAGAAAGCCATGTAACAATCTAGTACTCACAGTTCTTGGTTGTCAGCTGAGAAGCAATGACGCGCTCGCTTTACAATATTTAGTCTCGAGTTATTTCAATTAGTATAAGCGTTTCTCCTAGCATATTAATTTCATTTTCCATATACGCTCGGGTGTCTGATAGTATATAATCATTATTAATATACAATAAATTCCTCTAGTATATAATCATGAGCGTTATTGCTATAACTCTGCGTATTTTGGAAAATTTGAGTTCGAAATTACATGCGTAGATGTGCAAGATTTTCCCCAAGCAAACCTCTTGTCGATCGAATACTAATTGTCTATATTGTGCCTATCCTCACTCTCCTCGAGACAATCGCATCTCCGCGAGGACCGCCTCACTAGTTTCTCATTAATCGAACATAGTGTTCGTTACTTACCGGACCGCTGACGTCTGCTGTGTGCTGTAAACATCTTATGAGTGCGTGTACGTAATTAATTATAAATGATATTATTACTGGCTTCGGGAAGAGAGACATAACGAGCTACAAGTCGCTCATTATATGGTAAAAAAACGATTTTTGAATTAAGAGATCCATATGCAAAGGAAAAACCTTTCGCTTATATGATTTCTATCAATTCATTTTTAAATTAATTAATTCTTTGAAAATTTAAACTTTACAGCTATTGGATTTTTAAAAAAAAATTAATTATTATTAAAGGCGGTTTGAAAAAGTTCTTTAATTTAATATTGATGTTCAAAAATAATAAAACTAGAGTGTACCTTTGTTGTCAATCCTCTCTATTGCATTATATGCAGTAATTCATTATTTTTATAGAATAATTATTTCAATTGATCAAATATTAAGTCTTTAAGAATTGAAAAAACTTACAGATAAATCAAAAGTCCCAAAATGGTGACCACCAAAAATCTTATAGGAGAAGAATAGAAATAAATTATGCTGAAGAGAATAAAAATTCTAGATAAAATATAAAAATTGTCAAGCCAATCTCTATTGCCAATTTCCATATCTTCATTGTCGAAATCGTTCATAATATTATCATCTCTATTATTATTATTATTATTATTGTTACTGTCATTACTATCTCTACTATTATTATTATCTATACATGTGAAGTGGTTATTTCTATCGATTAAATAATTTGTATTTAATGATGAATAATATGTATTCCAAGATAATTCTTCCTGGACAAGCTTTCTGCGTAAAAACCTGCATAAAGAAATACATAAATAAATAAGGAATTCTTTACAATTGAATCTATTGACTTATAATAATGAAGGTGTTATGTAAAAAATTAGGAATTGATTATTGTAATCTTACGGACACGCTTCGAGTAAGAATGGAAATTACTTTATATTCCAATGTATTTATGATGTTAATAATCATAGGTATTGGATGAATGTTTATAATTATTGGACAAACATTATTAAATATTAAATAGATTTTATGTAACTCATGATTAGATAGTCCTGTGTTACTCTCCCCTTTAATTTTCTTCTGTATACTTTCGCACTCTTTAATGTCCAGATAGAAGACAGTGTAAGTATTGTACTACACGTTTTTAATATCTTCACTTGGTTTACCATCAAAGAGATTATAGATGAAATTTTAAGTCTTCGTTAATGAACGATAGTCAAGAATAGAAATGTAGAAACAAGGATCTAGAATTTATAAAAATTCCGAAAATTATTTCCCCTCTAACTCTAGTCAATTACAGCATATCAAACAAACATCTTCTCATTTCAATTTATTACTAATATTTCCCGGTATTTTCCGATCCAATTATTATCGAAAATTATGACATTTTTTAGTAGCTTTCAACATCTGGAAAATTTGAAAAACAAAGACGGTAATGAAAAGTGAATTAGAGTAAAATTTGGTGTTTGTAAAAACTAACATAAGAGAGAAACGGTAAAACGTTGTCACTTATCAAAACAATCAACAAAACGCACGGTGAAGAGTACCAAATAATAAGAAATTAAATACACTAACCCACTCAGGGATTTAATTTGCTGAAATAGATAAGAAGGAGAACAATTAATTACTTATGGCTAATAATTCTGAAGGCCATCTGTAATGGCACTAGAATCGGACAAAAATATTTGTGTAAATCGTTGTGCATTTTTGTGCTTCTTAAAAATAGGAGAGTAAATCGTCTATTACTTTTCTCGTTAGTACTTTTTTTCTTATTTATTAACAATTTTATATTGTTATTGATTACATAATTGAATTCACTGTCTATTTTCGAAACTATTATTTATTTAAATGAAATGTATATCGAGTAAAGTACAATCTGTTCATAATATTTGTGTTGCGCGGTTGACATAACTGCTTGTGATGTTCGTATCACTTATAAATAATTCAAACTCTCGTATCTAGTTGCGCTAATGAGTAAGAATTCGTTTCTAATATATCTACTCTACTTGTCAAATAAATTGAAAAATCAAATATAAGGTGATAATAATAAATTGAAAAATCAAATATATACGAATATTGCTAAGGTTTTAAGGAAAGTCAGACTATGCCCTAGTTTCTTATAGTGCGAATTGTCCCATAAGCAGAGCTAAAGTCTTCTTAGGATTGGATATAATTTGGCCCAAGTTTCTTATAGCGCGAGATGTTCTATAAGTTGAGCCCGAATTATAGGAGAGGAGAAGTCTTGTTCAGTTAATCACAATGAGAGAAAGAACTTAGGTATTAACCAAGTTTATTCAGACTGACTTTGCAAGGCTAGAAGTGAATGCCAGCCTGTGCAATAGTGGGCGTATTTATACACAAATTTTCCCCCTATTTTCACAGGAGCGTTTTCTTCGAGAAGTTTTCGAATATTCGCGAAACCTTCGCGAATTTTGAGAAATGAGTTTTCTTAATTTACAATAAATAAACATTAATAATGAGCTTTTAACACATGTGAACTTTATAGAATATGTTATTTGTTGATTTTATACAATATACAATTATCGCCAATAGTGTCATCAAAAATTATTAACTAATAAAGTTAATTAATGTAATATTACAATATTTACAATAGAAAATTATTAAATTTTTACATAACCTTATAATTATATTAGTAATCTTGATCTTAGGAGTCGTCCCTATAATATATAGGGACGACTCCTAAGATCAAGATTACTAATATAATTATCAAACATCAGGAGTGGAAAAAATTAACAATAATTTATACATAACCTTATAGTTAATTAATTTTAGAAGCAATTTCCAAAAAGAAATATCCAAATTAGTTAATAACATTTAAATTATAGCCAATTTTCATACTTGTAACGATTTTTTCTATAATCTTATAACGCAATTATTAGATTAATTATCTAAGATTCATAAATTATAAAGCTGTCATTATTAAGTATAAAATTAACGCTTTCGTTCTGTATACAACTTATTGTTTAAATAAATTGTTAATTGTTTATTTATTAATAACAGTTATTATAAAGCTTTTATTAATTAAACCAATTCTTACTCATGTTCATTTCTTATTCATTTTGCATTTGGACTATTTACATTTTTCTGATAATTCATATTTTTAGTGTATAAATATATTAACTTTGCATATTAAAATTCATTATTCTTTAATAATTAAACGCAATTCGTATGACTATATTCTAAATCTACGTACTAAAATCTATAAAATAAATGCTTTGTTATATCAAAATTATCTCTAATTAACATATTTTTCTTACATAACAAAAATCATTATATCTATATCTATTACATTGTGACATCACGCTCCTTATTTTGGTTATGAAATTAGCCTCTTGTACTAATACAATCAAATAATCGGTGAGGTGGCGCCGTTTAATGTGCTGATTTGAGTAAACAGATAGATGTGTTTGACGGGTTGCGATGATTAAGTAACATAATCAACTAGCTCATAGATAGGACCGTTACATGCTTCAAAATATTTGAAAGAATTGTTATAAAAATTACAATTACATATAAATATTTCTACTGTATTTTTCTCTTCCGATCTCGTTTCTGTCACCCATGTTGTAAAGTCCATTTGCTTAGTGTTTTTACATGAGTTACAGCATATATAATTTTGCAAATCAACTCATCCAGTGGTGGATACTTGATTTCAGTTTCGAGCTTGAAATTTTTATGTAATTAATCAAAATAAAAATTGTTCTCTCGTATGAGAAATAATATAACATAATATACATATGACTTACTTTACTGGAATTGTTTTTTGAATGCATTGTTTCTTTTTTTTTTCTAGGTCTTTTACATAATTATTGTTATAATTTTTCAAACTATTACGCATGATAAGATTTTGTATGGCAATACACTAGAACTCCATAATATGAAAAAATTTTATTTTAGGTGCAACGATTGCCGAAAATCGTTAGGACTCGCGTAGACTGTCGAGCGTGGCTGAGTGTTATAGCCGTGATCGGCTTAGGTAAGAGAGAGAGAGAGAGAGAGAGGGCGCGTTGGGGGCGATGACCGGGAGGGGAGAGGTAGCGAGCCAGTATGACTGTGTCCTTCAGTCCGGCGACATCGCAGCGTATAGCATTTGAAGCAACGACGTGTGTTTTTCCATCTGAGTGAGATACAGGAAAGTTGAATAGATAATTTGTGAGTGGAGTGTCGAGTGCGCACACTGCTCAACGTGTGCGACGTCGGCAGCAGCGAGCTCAACTTCGGCAGCATCCACAGCTACGCAACTTCGGCAACGAGAGGCGGTTGAAGAGGTAGTTGAGGAGGCAGCACGTACTTTAGTATAATCGGATACGGTTGGCCACCGTATCCTCATCGATTCTGCGGTAAGTACGCTGCACTTTGTATTACGTTTAGCGTGCGATCCCGCGCAGCGTGCGCGGCGAGTTTAGGGTAGCGTGCGTGCGACTAGTCCGCGACGTCCGCTAATTCTGCTCTCTCTCTCCCCATTCGAATTATTGTGTTGATATTGCGTGCGTTTAGACTCTCGGCAAATCGTCCCTTGTACAGATTTAGTTTTGTTCAATAAAGTAGTCAGATATCAATAAGAGACGATCTTATTATTTCGTCTACCCTTTGTTCGGTGTCGGTGTTATTGTTTACATTTGGTTCGAACGCGCCGGTAATCCAACGTGGATCGCGAAAGCATAGAAGGAGCTGTTCGTCACCCGAGGTGTCGGCAGTGGCCGACGCAGCGCTAATAAGCTAGCGCACCAGCGCCACCTGGCGGAAAGTTCGCACACCCAAGTTGGATAGCTGAGAGAACACGGCGCATGCGTACACCGGAGCAAGGTGAGTAAGTGTGCTTGAAGCATACAACTAACAGAGCACCGTTTGGCCGTACTGTTAACTACCATTGCCCGGGATTTACAACTAAGCGGTAGCCTGTTACATAGGATACATTTTTTCTAAACAAATAAATACTAGATACCAATAAATAGTAAGTAGTCTAATCAAATAGTAAGGAAGAAATAGTTATTAATTTTTTAAATATTATTGAGAAAAAACAAATCGGGCTTTATTAGTCATAGTGATTCATTTCAAAATTCATGTTTGAAATTTGGAATAATTTCGTAAGACCGAATAATTTTTCTAATTTATGAACAAGGACTAATTTGGATACAACTTAGCATCAAGGGAAAGATATTATAGTGGCAAAAGAAAAGATAACCATCACAGACGCTTACGAGAACAGTGAACAGACCGCTACCAACCTCGCGATAGAGCGCCTCCAAAGATTACGTTCGAAAGACAAGATAGGCCTCCGAAGCGCATGTGCTCACACTGTGGAGTACGAGGTGTGTTCAAAAAATACCCGGAATTTTTAAATTTCGCGGGTCTGGAGAGTCCGATTGTCAAAATTTTTTTTTATTGTGTTGGTATACATGCCTCTGAAGTATGATAAAATTTTCAACTATATTCACTGTTTACTTTGTCTGCGGTAGTCGCTAAGGTTTGACGTGTTTTCATGAGCTCGGCGATTTTCGTTTTTTAAAAGAAATGGATCAAAGAATTTGTATTAAATTTTGCGTAAACAATGAAATAAAGTGTAACAAAGTGTGTGAAATGTTACAAAAAGTCTATGGTGAGGCTGCTATGTAAAAAACAAGTATTTACGAGTGGTATAAGCGTTTCCAAGATGGCCGCGAAGACGTTGAAGATGAACGCTCCGGTCGACCCAGCACGTCAACAATCGATGAAAATGTGAAAAAAAGTGGAAAAAATGGTTCTGAATGGTCGCCGAATCACAATTAGAG